GGCCCTCCACCAGGGGCCAGTCCCCATGCAGTTCCAGAAGAAGGATGTGGCCACCGAGCCAGCCTGTCTGATCCACGTGGGCAGGGGCTCTGCTCTGCTCACCCCGGACACGCAGGGCCTAGCCCAGTGCTGGGCTCTCGGCAGGCATGCGAGGACACTGCCGAGGCAGAGGTGGGACAAGCAAGCCTGGGGTCAGCCAGCCTGGGCTCAGTCCTGCCCCCACCCGCCACTTCCTTGAGGCAAGTGACCTCTGAGCATATCTGAAAATGGAGCCAAGACCAGTCTCCCAGGCCTGTGGTAGACATTAAAAAAAGCAATCATCTAAGTGGAAACATGACAGAAGTTTCTAGATGAGGGCCAAGTGCAGCTCGTCGTGATCATTATTACAGAAAAGGGCAAACCTCCCTGATGTTCCAAGGGAAGGCCCCGGCCTTGATAACCGCAGAGCCCAGACCCTGGGCCTCCCACCCAGAGAGGGGATTAAATGGCTGAGGCGGCTGAGTCACCCTGTCTGGAGAGTAACCAAAGACGAAAGAGCTTGGGGGGCTCTGAGTGGAGGCCAGGCTCTGTGAGGTCAGTGAATCCAGGATGGGAGTGACGGTCCCTGCCTGCCCATCATGGGTGGACACCTTGAGAAACAGCCGACGGCACTGCCATTTCCTGAGCACCAACTGTGCTGAATGCCACACACGGGATTATAGGCTTCATCTCAGTGGATCCTCACGGCATCCATGCAAGGCTGGGGTGACCCTGTCGTAGGCTCAGTGATACCGGCGGGTGTGAGATCAAGCCCAGCTGCCATGGACAGGTCCAGCAGCACCTGGTAGGCTGCGATCACTCCAAAGACCCCGACACCGGGACCGCTATTCTTACTGTTACTGGGTTTAGGACACATCCGGTCTAGGTGGGAGCGGGTGTGAGATCAAGCCCAGCTGCCACGGACAGGTCCAGCAGCACCTCGTAGGCTGCGATCATTCCAAAGACCCCCAACACTGGGACCGCTATTCTTACTGTTGTTACTGGGTTTAGGACACATCCGGTCTAGGTGGGGGTCTTAGTACATTGAGATGATGCTTGTTCTAAAAATTAAGCATACGATTGCCCTTGGAGGGTTGAAAAATTAAGATTGAGGTACAGTGATTCATACGGGCAACATCACCGCACGAGATGGGCTCCCAGGCCCTGAATCTAAGCAGTGACAGGACCAAATGCATTATATGTACAAAGGAGCTGGGATCCTGAAAGGGCAGTCAGGGAGGGGGTCACTGATGAGCCCATCGCCCAGGGCAGAGGGGGTGCAGGCCTTCACCAGGGATGTAAGGGCCTGCCCTCTGTTCTCCTGCATTTCCTCAGGGGTAGCGCACGGCGAGAAAGAGGCATGTCTCGGCCACACCCCATATTCCCTTGCTTCTTCATTTTGTTTATCATCATCATCATCGTGGTGATAACAGTAATGGTTTTTGAGCCATTCGTGCACATCAGAATGGTTCTAAGTCCTCACATTAATTCTAAAGCCTCATAATAACCATCGGGGATGTGCCCACTCTACAGGGGAAACTGAGGCACGGAGAGACCACGTGGTTAAACATAGGTGGTCTGGCTGCAGAGCTTTTGCCTGTAATCGCTGAGTGATATTATACCCCTTCTGCGGGTACAGCCACCGGGCTGTAGGCTGACCCCCCAGGCAGGGAAAGAAAGCCTCATGCTCCCTCTTCAGGAGCCCTCAGACCCTCCTGGACAGGTAGCACCATTTGCATCCTTTCCCCAGCCTGGAAGGCCCGAGGTCACAGAGCCTCGGCTTCTTGGCTAAGCTGACCCAACATCTGAGCGGAGCCGGCAGTGCTAAATTTAGAAAGCCTAGGACAGCAGGGAGCAGCAGCAATGCGGCCCTCCGTTCCAGCCTCAGCCCCAGCCCCTGCCCTGGCTCGGAAGGGTCCTCAAAACTCTGTAAGTGACTGGAGCTGCCACAGGGAAATTCAGCCAGGTTGGTCTTGAACGTAATGGTTTATCTGTGGAGAGAGAAATCTGGGAAGCTTACTTAGCCTAGGAATAGCAGGCTCAGGGGCAGGCTTCCACTGGCCACCCTGGGCCTCTGAGACAGGGTGAGGCAAGCCCTGGCATCACTTCCTTCTGGTTGGTAGCCCCCTCAGGCCCGGCTCAGGTGCCCCTTCCCTGGCTGGTCCCTGTGTGAGGAGCCGGAAACAGCCCTCTTGGACCACCTCTGCCCCCGTTCACCATGCATTCTCTCTCATCCCTACCCCAGTTCCGACGCCACGTAAAAAACGACCCATTAGGCCATAAACAGGCCTGTGTTCTCTAGGCCTTTGTTATATGGCCCTGAAGCTATATCGCACTCACCCAATACTAGAATCTCAAATAACAACCAGCCACTCCTCACCATACTGATCCCAAGGCCGCTCCCAGGCTTGGGAGAGCTGCCTGATAACTCTTACTACAATACAGGTGGGGTGGGGGTGGGCATCACAGGTACCGGGTGATACAACCTTTGTCTTTTTCTCATATTTCACAGTAATTATCTTTTCCTTTGGGTGTTGTTTAATACGTCTTTCTTGCAGAGGTTGTTCTAACATAGCTGCTGGCGCCAAACCCACCCTGGACCTGACTGCCAGGCGAATCCTATTCCATGATCTCAGGGGGCCCACAGTTCCCACGGGAGAGCTGTGCCCACCCAGCTCCACGACCCCGGAAGCCAAGTCTCTCTAGGCCTCTGCATCCGTTCCTCACCCCTTACTAAGCACCGACTCAGCAGCAACCGTGTGCCAGGCACCAGCAATGGAGACAAGCCTCCTGCCTTGGAAGGGTGATGGTGACAGGTTCAAACGCGGACACTTCCCGGGGAAGTTGAGGCATTGCAAACCTCCAGCACACAGCTCCCTAATTCTCCGACAGGATCAGCACTGCAGAATGCAGTCCCTGCGGGGAGCCTGGCCTGACCCCTGTAACATGCGTTTGTCACTCGTGGTCCTCCTGTGTCCACTGATCTTCAAGTCCAGGAAGGACAGATTCTGGCAGCCTTTCTCGGCCTGTGGCTTCATGCTGCCACAGCACTGACAGCCAGTAGGAACCCCACAATCCTCTGTAAAAATCACTCAACAGGTGATTCTAGCTCCAAGGGGAATGTGAACCTCCAAATACACCACACAGCTGTAAGTGGGAGAAGCAGGCATTCTCCTGTCACCTGGGTGGCCGAGTCCCTGATGGACAGCAGCAGCAATGAGAGCTCGGTCCCAATGCCCAGGCCTCCTTGGTGGCCCTGAGGAGCCCATTCCTACTCGCTTGCTGCACAGGAGGGATGAGAGAGGAAACGGCTGGCCTCTCTCCAGGGCCTGGCCAGCTGCCTCCTCTGGCCTTCACTGGACACTTTCCACTGGGACGTAGAAGCCGTGAGCTGGGGCCACTTAATTGTGTCAGGTGGGCTGATGGTGGCTGTCTTGGTGCAAGGAGGAACCTTATCCCTCTGGTCAAGCTGACCCTCACAGCCACTGTTCCTCTGAAATGCTGGCTCATCCCACCTTTTCAGAGTTCCTCATTATCCCTCTCTGGATGGGCAGCAGATGTTTCTGTCCAGCTGACATCTATGCCTCCTGTCTTTTCGACATAGCACCTCCCTTTTCCTTTAGGGAGCCACCCACGCAACGCCAGTGGTTCAGGGGTGGAAAGGGACCCAGTCTGGCCAATCAGAGCACTGACTTACCCTGGCCCCTGTGATTGGTTCAGGAGGGGGGGCACATGACCCAAGTCAGTCCAATCAGAGTCAGTGTCTAGACCAGGTGGTGTTCTCTTTAATGTTGGCCATGAGGATGGAGCCTGGAGATGCTGGCAGCTATCTTGCCACCGAGAGGGGAGCACCAATAAAACAAAGACCGGATTCAGATAATACCCGTGTCCCGGATCATACCACTCCTGGAGCCAAGATCTACCCCTGGACATGAGCCAATACATTCTTAAGCCAGTTTGAGTTGTGTTTTTTTATCTCTTGCAACTAAAAAAAAAATCCTGATAAATGGCTCCTGTCAGGGACCGTTTCTGGGCACCCAGCATCCCCACAAACTTAAAGGCCATCTGCAGTGTGCTACAAGCACTCTAAGCTACCGCTCTCCTTCAGAAACTGGACAAGCAAAATGGACACTGCAATGGACCTCCACGAAAACAGTGAGCACTCACTTCCCTGTGCATTTCAATTTTAGCTTCTCTCTGACTGCGGTAACCAGTCCCCCTGGCTTGACATCCTGGAAGGCACAAGCTTTCAAGTTCTGCGCAAGGCCATTTCCAGACTTCTTCTGCCCAAATCAGCCTTTGTCCTTTTCTCCCACCTAAACGGGTCTGCAAATACCAACCCCACAGCCACTGGGCACCTTCCTCTGCCTCAGGGTTCCAGCTCTGGTCTGAGTGTTGACTATGTGCCTGGCACTGAGCCCTGGCCCATCAAATTCTCTCGCCAAGCCTGTGGGGAGCTGTGCGAGCCTTCTCTCCATTTTGCACATCAGAAACGGAGGCCCGGACAGGTGCACTGGCTAGTTCAAGGTCACAGAGCTGGTTCTGGTGGCACAGCCAGATCCCAACTGAGAAATCTGTCTGATTGCAAAGCTCATATTCTTAACCACCGGATGAGGCTCCTAACGCTAAAAATACCATGCCGTGCATATTTTTTGAACTAAATACCAGGACAGAGAGCCTGACAAACGGGCACAGAGATGGAACTGGGCCTTTCTTTGAACTTTTAGTAAAAATGGCCGAGTCCCCCATCGTTGGCTCTTGCAATAAGCTTCTCCTCTCCCAAGGCCTCACTCCTAAAGGCTGTGTCCAGGAGAGGGACAGCAACCACTGGGGGACAGTGACTACTTCCTTCTCCACCCTCACCATGCATGACTCTTACCTCTCGTCCCTCCTCCCTCTTTTCCACCATCCAGGAAAAGAAACAAATTACCAAAACACAAAGAGGAAAGTAAAGGAGAAGGCTGGGCATTGGTTCTACCCACCAATTGGTGACACAGTCCATGCATGCAGTGAACACAAAACTCAGCGCAAACCAGGAGGAACTCACTTGACCGAGGTCTTGCCACTGCAGGGGAGAGCCCGGCCCTCACTTTCTTTCCCACCCCTGAGTCTGAGTCAGCAGCAAAACACCCATGTCTCAGTTTCCTTCTCCACCCATCGCCAGAATGCACAGGGCAGACGGAAGCTGCCTGTCCCACTTGTCAA